CCAAAAAAGGGCTTGGTTTTTAGTTTTTTTATAAGTTTTTTATAAGTTGTAGATTTAAGTATAGATATGTATTTTTTTAATTTTATTACAAACTTTCAGTTTAGGAACAAGGGAAGGCGATACTGGCTACATTAACCCCCATTACTTCCGTTTCCACCCCCACTCCTCACATTCTTGACCTTCCTACGCTTATATATATATATATATATATATATATATATATATATATATATATATATATATATATATATATATATATATATATATATATATATATATATATATATATATATATATATATATATATATATATATATATATTAAAGAATATAGATATAGTTTGTTAGTTTAGAGAAAGAAAAATAATAATAAAAATAGTATTTTATTTCCATGGTAATGTTACAAATTATTTCACTTACTCTACAAACATCATACAACTTATCAAAACCAACTTCAAGGTTTTTCAAACATCCACCACATAAAGTGTCATAAATGTATTTACGGAATTGAACTTCATTAAAGGTACCAATAAGATTTTTTCCTAAAAATAACTAACTTTGTTGCGTCTATGAACAGGTGCAGACTAATTAATAGTTATGATATAAAAAAAACATTTTCATATTTTTACCCACAAAAAACAGATATTAAATAGCAAATGAAATATAATAATTTATAACTAATTTATAATACATAAACTAATTTATTATAAAGTAAAATTGTTATATTTTTGCTACTATTGACAAAAATTAATATTTATATATATATATATATATATATATATATATATATATATATATATATATATATATATATATATATATATATATATATATATATATATATATATATATATATATATATAATGATCAAGTCAACCTGCTTTTGATAGCATGTTATCCAGTACAACCTGCTAAATATGGGGGAGGTGAGAGGCTAGTTAGTAGTTAGCTATGGTAAAAGCAACTTACCTAGGAGAAGGAAAACTAAGACATAAAACCCCTTTTAAAACGTATAAAAATATTTGTAATACTTTTTTTTATAAATATTTGTAATAGTTGATTTGATAACTTTCTAAATATGTAAAATATTATTGAATATTATTCAAGATGATAACACCAGGAATTAAACTATATTTTACATTATAAATTTAAGATAGGAAATGAATGATTTCCTGACAAGGGAATCCTTAGGAATAAAAAAAAAATAACTGATTGATATGTCACAGACATATGCAACATTATAAACTCTACCTTCACATAACTGTAATGCATAGTAGCATACATAAACACCACAGTTGTACCCATCCTTTTGTAAACAATGACTTTGTGTTGAAATAACATTAGGGTTTAATATGTTGAATTTACGCTTATAAATTTCTTTGGCAACTGCAATTGACTTCTTATGCGAAATATTATTTAACAAAACATTTGAAGCTAGTGGATCGAGAACATTTATTTCTTCTGTTTTCACTTTCAGATGTATCAAAATCCAATGCGAATTAGTTGGATTAAAGGGAATAAAGACTTGATCTATATTTTCAGTGTCAACATCTTTCCATAAAAGCTTTATACTTCGTGAATAGCTTAATGCTAAAGCTTCTGTTGGTCCGCAATATTTCATAAAAGGAAACCTTTTTTCTAAACAATGCAGAAAGCTTCCAATGACCTCATCTTGAAGCCAGCCTTTTTGAAATTGAATTTTTTTTTTTTTGATTTTTTGCAATAAGTCTGAAGAAATTATGTTTTCAAGTGTCAAGAGAGAAATAAAAGAAAGTTGGTGAGGACCATCTCTAAAAATATTTAGATATTTAAATGATATTTAAAGATAAAAAAAAGAAAATTGCTTATTCTCATTTCCTAATTATCGATTTTTTACATCTAAGTTAGAATACATTTGGTATTTTGTATCATGTTACCATTATACTATTATCTTTTAGTCATATATTCATTAAATGTTAAAAAATTACCATTAAAAACAAAAATAAATAGAATAAAATAAACTATGAATCATAGAACATGGACATAAAGCATCCTTGCAGGAGCAATTACCTAACAAGAGTACTATTAAAGTCACTAGTTTTAATGTCATCACATATTATTGTAATTTCTTCATTATGTGTTATATCAATGTTTTTCTGACACATTTTTCTAACTATTTCCTCTTTTTGGTGTTGTTCAGGATATTGGTATGGTCTTATTTTCCTTTTCCTCTTATCTTTTTTTGTTTTTCTGAACTTATTAGGCCGCCATTGCGTATCTAACTTCTTATTTGGTGCAAAATTCAAGTGTTGATTTTGCAATGTTGCCTTTATAGGTACGTCAATTGAGTTTATGCCTTTAATAGCTTTAGCTTGTCTAATCATATCTTCTAATTGTCTGTTTATAGATAGAAGTTGAAGACTTATTATCTTGGGATCAGTTACTAATAAACATAATTCATCAACATTTTTTTTAAACCTCTCTGCCTCATTTTTAAATATTTGTGGTTTTTTCCATCGCCTGAACATCTTCTGAAACAACAGCTAACAATGGTTCTTTTATGTTTATTTTTTTAACTTTCAGAAGAAATGATTGGAGCTTGTGAATATGTTTACAAAGGTTAACATTGTCATTGCAATTACACTTGTATAAATGCTCACACAAGCCAATACAGGCCGGATTTATACAAGTGTGAACATGAACTTTCTTTACAGGTATCTTGTAAAATGTCAACTTTATACATTATATCTTTTGATTGGCTTTTTACAGTGTACTTAGTTGATGAACATTTAAGAACACAGTCATCAGAAATCAACATTCCTTTTTCATGACGTTTTTTAAACTTTTTAGGAAGAGATATAGTTCCTAGATAAATGTTGTCTCTTTTGTGTCTCCAATAATCATCTTCCTCGATTTTCAAAAGTATTTTGATCAGATCATCTAACCTTTTATTGGGTCGCCTATCCATATAAACTGTCTTCAATTTATTATGGAAGGATTCAAGCAACATATTTGTGTCAGTATCTGCATGCTGAAAGTTCCGATAACAAGAAGCCCACTTTTCATGTCGAGAAGCATAGTATGTTAGAAAGTAATTTACAAAATTAGGACATATCTTTTCATATGTCTTGACAAAACCATTCATAATTGACGTAAAAATCTTTGGATCTTTTTCATCTATCATTGTCTCTAGGATCTGGTAAATTTCTTCTTGTAAATGAGCAGTACCAACTAAAGGAAGTTTACCACGCCACGCACGCTTTACATGCCATTTGCATAGCAAGTGATGCGTATCTCCAAAGACTTTAGAAAAAGCATTCCAGCTTGAGCAATCATTATCTGTCATAACAGCATTAACTTTGACTGGATTGGTACATCGCTTCTTTATTTCCTCCAAAAATGGAGTTATAGTTAGTTCATCTGAATGATTGGAAATAAAAAAAGCTACTGGATAGCCTCTTTTAAATTCATCGCGGACAAGCAAAGTTACCAGTGGAAAAGCATACTGATTAGTGCTATGCGTAGAATCAATACAAACAATTTGTGACCCATGCTTTTCAAACATTGCCAGTTGCTGCTTAGTTTGTATAGCAATAACAAATAAATCCTTGTTGATATCAATATCATCATACACTTTAGGCCCAATAATAGCAGGTTGTCCTTGTGGTTTATATACAAGAATGCTATTGAACTCTTCACACATTAATTTCTGAACAAGTAAATAAGTTGAAGTGCTATCATCTGGGTGAAGCTGACATTCCTTTTTAATGACCCGGTTAATATCAGAAATGTTTTTTTTTTGTAAGAAGATTGGATTTAGTGAGAACAACATTATCTCCATTAACCCTATTTTCTCGTTCTCCCAAACTCTCCCTAAGATCATGATATACCTGATTTACAGGTACACCAATGGATAATTTAGCAGAAATGCTACTTTTCAGATTATCTGGGATTGGCTGGTACATAGTATTAGTAACAGAAATAATATGATTATGTGTTTTTATGTAACACACATTTGTGGTTCCATTTGTCTTTATGTTAACGATCATTCTAGCAGGACAGAAAGCATCTGATTTCACACTACCTCTGAAGTATCTTTTATTTGTTTTTCTTGGAGGTTCTATTGCAGAGCGATCTGGCTTTGAATGACCATCAACTTGACAAATAAAGTAACTTGTTTTTGTCTCTTTGCTGCTTTGTTTACTTCCTGTTTGTTTACTGAAAAATACATAATTATTATTTTCCTCTTTTTCTTTCCATGTTAAAAACTCTAACTCTGAGGAAAACTCATAGGTTTCTGTAGAAAACTCACCCTTATGATACTCTTCTATATGCTTAATCAATTTTATTTTTTGGAAAAAAACTTGACTGCAGTTTTGATAATAACAAGGAGTTCTTTTCCCTCTACACTGCTTGTCAGCAAATATGACCTTATGCATCAGCAATGTATGCCTTTTTAAACTATCTTTTCTTGAAAATGATCTCATACAAGTGGAGCATGTGAAACTAAAAATCAAAATTTTCGTTAAACTAAATTGAAAGTAGTTATATTTAAGATATTTGAAAAATAATTCCCCTAGGTGTTTTCATAGGGCACAACTGAGCATCAGATAAAATAGTTAAGGGATTGAAGGAAGATGCTGTACAAAAAATAAGTGCAAATTAAACATTAAGTTTTTTAGAAAAAAACATTAAAGCATACAATTAATTTAAAAAACTAATGAAATCTTTGACAAAATAAAGTAAATTAAAAATAAAGTATTATTAAAAATAATATATTATAATAATATATATTAAAAGGAAACTAACTTATCCAAATCAAATTATCACGAAAAGAGTTACTCTTTTAAAAGAAACTTTGTTTAAGAGTATAATTACTCATATGAAAAATTGTGCTTATACACTAGCACAATATAGAAACAAAAGACTTGCTTGTGAACAAAAAAATATAAATAAAAGGAGACTTAAACATTTTGAAAAAGTTTACAAATAGAAGACTTTCCCAAAAAAACAACATATTTTTCAATGGAGATAGAATTGCAAATTAAAAATAATTAAAAAAAAAGAAGCAAAATAGGAAAACACTAACAATAGAAAATAATAAGACCTTTTTGAAAAAATCTTGTAAGGAAGACTTTCTCTTAACTCACAAAGGGAAAACTGCGTTTCATTATAGGGAGGCTTACACATTTGAAAAAACTTCAGAAATAAACGATATCATCTCACATAAAATAATTTCATTAAGGGGAGACTTACACACTAAAAAAAAATTCTCACAACAAATAGTTTAATGAGAGGGAGAATTACACACTTCAGAAAAATTCACAAAGGGAAAATTGTGACTCATGAAGTAATAATTTCATTCAGGGGAGACTTACACACTTAAAAAAACTTTACTGAGGGAAAAATTTGTTTCACAAGTAACAATTTCATTATAGGGAGACTTACACATTTGAAAAAACTTCAGAAATAAACGATATCATCTCACATGAAATAATTTCATTAAGGGGAGACTTACACACTTAAAAAAACTTCTCACAACAAATAATTAAATGAGGGGGAGAATTACACACTTCAAAAAACTTCACAAAAGGAAAATTGTGACACATGAAGTAATAATTTCATTCAGGGGAGACTTACACACTTAAAAAAACTTTACTGAGGGAAAAATTTGTTTCACAAGTAACAATTTCATTATAGGGAGACTTACACATTTGAAAAAACTTCAGAAATAAACGATATCATCTCACATGAAATAATTTCATTAAGGGGAGACTTACACACTTAAAAAAACTTCTCACAACAAATAATTAAATGAGGGAGAGAATTACACACTTCAAAAAACTTCACAAAGTGTATATTTTGTTTCACAAGTAAAAATTTAATTATAGGGAGACTTACACATTCAAAAAAACATTAGACATTTGTGTTCTAACACTGTTAGAAAATGGACATGTTAGTAACAGGTTCATTTTTTTTTTTCTAATTGATTCAAAAGTTTTTAAATCAAATATTTTCATTCGTTTCGTTCATTGTTAAACTCACAAAAGAGCAAAACCTATTTTATAAATAAGCTTAAAAAATAACCTGGTGAAAGTTTTAACTTTTCCATTTCTTTTTCTGCATAAGAAGCATTTAAAGACATTTTTTACACAGATTTTAGTTTTAAGCGTGAAAATAATTTTGCGCAATTTTTAGGCGGGTCAATCATACGGGCTTAAATTGTTTGCGTGTGTAATTCTCCCCTACGTAAAATTCATATTGGTGTGACACCTTTATTAGGAATTCCTATTCATCCAATTAATAGTTTTCCAAATGACTATATGCATTCTGTCTGTCTGGGGGTAGTACGAAAACTTCTAAATTTTTGGTCTTCTGGACCATTCAGTGTTAAGCTATGTTCGCAATCACTAAAAACAATATCAGCTCGATTAATTCATGTTTCATTGTTCTTTCCATCAGATTGTAACAGAAGACCTCGTTCATTGGAGAGTATGAATAAGTGGAAGGCAACAGAATTCCGATCATTTCTCCTTTATTCAGGGCCTATTGTTTTGTGTGATATTCTTAGTAAACCAGTTTATGAACATTTTCTTATTTTACATAGTTCCATATTTCTATTATGTAGGTCACAAGAGCATGAAGTTATTAAATATTGTGGTGAGTTGCTGAAAATATTTGTTACAAAGGCTGTTGCCTTGTATGGCAAATCATTTATGTCATATAATGTGCATTCTCTTATACATCTGCATAATGGTTGTTTACAATTTGGACCGCTTGGCAATTTTTGTGCTTTCCCCTTTGAAAATGCTCTTGGTCATTTAAAACGAAGAATTCGAAGTGGATATTTGCCGCTTCAGCAAGTAGCTTCTAGTCTTTCTGATAACAAATCTGAACATTCTATGAAAGTTCACACTGATGGAGTTTCCCTTCAACATTGTAGTGGGCCTTTACCAAATCAGGGCCATTTTTTGCAATATAAAGTGTGCCATTACAAAAATCAAAGGTTTTCAAGCGGCTTGCGGGATAGTTCAGTAATGGTAGGACAAAAGTGCTATCAAATAGTTAACATCTTAGCAGAAGACTTAAAAAATCCATTATTCTTAGCCAGGTGTTTTACTGTGCAAACAAACTTTTATGACGTTCCACTTGCAAGTTCGAAACTATCTATTTTTAAAGTTAATTGTCTTAGTGACACTTTGCATACTATTCCGTTTTCTGATATTGTTATATCGCTGAATATGGGAGACAACAACGATGTTGTTGTCTCCCATATTCTTCTTCCTTTGTTGTAATCCCATTATCAGAGATTTGAGTTCTTATTATATTTTAGAGTTCTATATATTTTTTCAAATAAGATAATAAATTTATATTATACAGTATTTGTAATTTGTTCCATGTCTATTTATGGTATACAACATGTATTTCATTTTGTTATATCTATTTATACATTTCTTACAATTGCTTTAATTTATTTGGGCAGCTTTTTAAATATATAGTGTAAAATTATGAACTACATTTACACATTTTATTATTTCTTTGTTTTGAAGTTTAAATTTGCAGAATGTTAGTTCTTGAAGTATCTTTGAACGTTGTTTAGCAGGATGTAATTGTATTACTCTTATATGGTAAATAATAGGTAAATAATAATAGGTCTTATATGGTAATTAACTATTTTTTTTTTCTTTATTTAAATTAAGCAAATTTTTTTTTTTAATATTTTGTATTTGAAATTTTTTTAATAACAGATGTCTTATTCAGTAGTTATTTTTAATATTGTTAATGAAGTGGCAACAGTGTCCAGTAAATGGTTTAAAGATTCAGGATGCGTTTTGTGGCCCAACTGTAGAGTAGGGAAGAAATTGCAAAACATGTTACTAAACCATGAAGAGCCAGGTGCTGACTGGATTTCTTATGAAGTACGAGTGTTGTCCAGTAACATCTGTAGGTATTTTTACTGAGAGTAAGCATTTCAACTGACTAAAGGAGACATGTTTTCTTAATTTTTAATTATGAAACAGTTTAATTTAATATCTTTATAATTTTATTTTTGTAGTAACTCTCAAATCAGCAAGGGCAAAGGAGCGACTAGCTGAGGAAAATTCTGATCTTAGTTCAGCTGAAGATGGTAGCGGAATTATATATGCCCCTAGCAGATTTAACAGTCAAGAATATTGTCAACCGCTATCCAAAATCAGCAAAATAACTTCAAATAGCCATACCACTTCCTATTTAAACAACCCCTTGGTTCCTCATGCACCATCACTAGTTTCTAATCCATCTTTAATTCAAACTTCAGCATCGTTTTCTAGTAAGCTAAATGTTTAATTTTGTTAAACAAGAACAAGCTTGTTGACTGATTAATCATTTAATGATCTTAATAACCATTTTTTGTATCTGCATATAGCATTTTTTATATCTGCATATAAGAATGTGTTAGATTTGTATAACTTTTATGTAGCTAGTCAATACTGAAAAAAAAATTTTTTTTAGATGATGATCATAGCATATTTAATACGCAAAGAGTTTTTACGACCCTTAGCCAAAAATAGAAAATTTAATTCTAACTGCCAAACCACTTCATCTAATAACTATCCTTCATTTCCAGATAAATCAGCACTAGTTCCTGATTTTTTAATTTCAAACTCTGTTCAAACTCCAACGCCAATCTCTAGTGAGTTACTTAATTTTATTCTGTTAAAGATTATTCTTTAAAATATATTGAGCAATGGCTTTTTGCTACAATTCCTTATTATACTGAAGATGTTTTTGATTATTAAAATATTTTTGTTTTATGGCTTGTTTTATAACATAAGACAGTTTAATCTTTTATTATCGTTAATCATAATCTTAAATTAGTTCTCGTAAATCATAATAAGTAAGATCAAATATTTTACATTATATCTCCATCTGCATTTACCGGTTAAGGAATGGTGTTATAATTTGCTCTGGATCTGTTGTTACGTTACCAGAAAGTTTTTATTATTTTTTAGCTAATGTTCCTTGTGCACATCATTGTACGCATGTTGTTACGTGGTTTGAGAAATTATTTAAAGAAATACAACAAATGCGTGCAGAACAGACTGTGATAAATCATCGTTTAGATCAACAATGTCAAAATGAGCATCAGCATGTAGATAGCAATTTTTTGAATTGTCTTCCACTTGAGAGTGAAGTTGATTTTGAACGATTCGGTATAGAGATAGATAGTGACAATGGAAAACGAACTTCTTTGGTAAGTAAACTTTTGTGATGTTTCTGTTAGGTAGTTTCTGTTATGCGGTAGTGGTGTAGTGGTAGAGCGCTCGCTTCATAAACGAGTGGTTCCGAGTTCGATCCCCACCACGTCCCTGGTAGTACCGCGCTCAACTCGTTTCTCCGCGCAGCGGCCTTGTTCGTCAAGGTTCGTGTTTCGGAGTTATAGAGTTGAGAGAGGGTTATAGCCACAAATAAGTAGCCTCCTCGTCTGTAGTGGCCTTCTCGGCCTTGAGGAGGTGAATCAAAATAAAAAAAAAAAAAAAAAAAAAGGTATTCTATGGGTAAAATATTTGAAGGCATTTAATTTGGGTTGTTTGAGCAAATTTGTCTATGTTATTTATATAAATATATAAAATTGTTTTTTTAAAGTTTATGTAAACCAAAATGTACAGCATAAAATGGATATTTTCTAATTGTTGTTCCTGTTTAGATACGTTATTTGCGGAAGAGGTCAGACTCAAATGTCAACAAGACCATACTAAATATATTGAGAAGTTTATTAAAGGACAATGTTCTTAGTTGTTATTCTAGAGATGGGAAACGCGGAAAAAAAAGTTTTTCTTCAGCAAAGGGAAACTTTGTTTCCATAATTCAAGGTCAATATATTTAATATATATGAAAATTACAAGTATTACTATGTATAAATTATATATTATCTTATTTATAGTTATATATTACCCTAAATGAATCATTAAATGTATATTTATATATATATATATATATATATATATATATATATAATATATATATATATATATATATATATATATATATATATATATATATACAGTTATGGCCATTGAAATCCGACCACCAGTATCATTTTACTTAAAACTAGTTTAATGTAGTAATAAACAATTGTATTATAGCAATAAAAGAATAACAGTAGCAATTAATGATTATAATGTAACATATCGTACATATTTAATGTTTGTATTAATGTTTTTTACTCTCAGGTTCGTTGAATTTAATATTTAGTGGCACCACCATGTGCTTTTAAGACTGCATTAATGCAATCTGGCATTGAATCCACGAGAGCCTAACAATATTCTGGTGTTATTTCAGTAATCCAAGCTTGACGAATTTTAGTCGCTAGATCGTCCAGTGATGTAGGATTAGTTCTGGATACTGCTGACTATAACTTGATTGATTGATTAACTGCTGACTTTAATGCGATCCTATCACGGATGTTCTTTAAAGACAGTTGCGATTTGAGGGCTGGACGACGAGAACGTAGGCCTACATCTTTCAATAAACGTCTTCTTATTGTTCAAGTGCTGACTGTAACGTCATTAGGTAGATCTGCCCTGATTTGTGTGCTGGATATTGTTTGATCTTTCACAGCAGCCCTGCGTATCTTATTGTCTGTTTGTTTGCTAGTAATTCTAGCTTTACCAAAACGTTTTCTGGGCGCAGTGGATCCCGTGTCTTTGATTAGTTGTATAATATCATGAACAGTTGATTTTGGCATTCGCAATCTTGCTTATATCTGATGCTCACTTGCACCATCCTCCCATAAAAGTTTAATATTAGCACGAACACCTTTCTTCGTAGTCATAATTAAATTGTGACAGTTAAATGATAATCCATACCCTACAATGAGATATATAGCTTAATAAATTTTACAGTGCAATAAAATAAACACTAATGTGATTGTCTAAAAGCTAATTAACTAATCATTGATAACAGGGAAGAAAATAAATTGATTATTCGAGTGCATAGACTGTTTTTCTTTATATTCAGCAGTGGTCGGATTTCAATGGCCATAACTGTATATATATATAAACATATAATAATTTTTTGAGACCCTATTTAATGTCTTTTGAATGTGATTAGTCAAAAAATTTAATACATTTAATTTAGATGTTGTTTTGAAAGTTCATAAAGGTGTGTCGTTGGTCCAAATAAATGTTGCGATTTCGGAACAATTAAAGAGACTCAATCAAAGAAATCGAAATTCTAAGTCTACAACAGCTGAAGAAACTACACCTGAAATTCCAGAGTTTGATTAAAAACCAATTATATAAAGTCTTTTTTATTGTTGAGAAGACTTATAAGTTTGAAAGATCCTGCTTACACACTTTGGTTAGCACTATGACATGTTACTTATTTAGGGATAGGCGAGGGCTTCAGTACATACACTGACTGATTTAGGGAGAACTCGCAAGGGAGTTAAAAACACATCCATTTTATTTATTATTTACTTTATTTTTTTGAAGAAGGTCAGGTTTTGATTATTGATGAAAAAAAATTTTTGTTTTATGACATGTTTTAATAAAACATGTCATATAACAAAACAGTTAAATTTTTGTTCATTAAAATCGACAATTATCTTCATTTTATATTTAACATAATAAATATTTTAAATATAAAATATAACATTTTATTCTTTCATTTACAGGTGGGTAAAGTTTTTGTTTTATTTTGAAACGAGAACATCATTTGCTCTGCAGCTGACGTTCTTGTTTTACTATTTGTTTTGTTTGTACTATTTTTTTGATAATGTTCCTTATTAACATCATTGTAACAGTTGTTTTTTGCACGGTTATTTAGGTTGCTTGCTTAATTTCATTAAATAATTTATGTTATTATGGCTGCAAAATTATTTAGAAAAATACAGCAAATGCTGGAAGCTAGAACAGGAAGTTATAAATCAGCATCTTGATGGTAAAATGAAAATCAACAACTAGTAGCACTTCTTTGAATTGTCTTTACATTAGAGTAATGTTAATTTTGATTGGTATGGAGATAGATGCATGCAATGGAAAACGAACTGCTGTTATGTGAGTTTTTATAAATTTTAGTCTTTCTGAGGGCCTAATTAAAAAAAAGATACTCAACTTGGTTTGTTTGGAACAATTTTGGTTATATGGTATAAAAACTTAAAAAATTAGTTTAATGACTAAACAGCTTTAAAAATAATCTTTTACTACAAATAATGAACAGACACTAAACAAAGTTATTTACTTAATTGTAGGTAGTATGTTCAGCTGTACATAGTATGTTTTTGTAATTTTTCTTTATATCTAGATTTTTGGAAGAAGTTAAACAACAAGATGTAATTCGAGTAAAAATATTTAGTATATGATATTTTTTATTTACTTAGATATGTGTGTGTATTTGACATATTTTTGCCACACAAAACATATTTTTTGTGGGGAAGTAATATATGTTTGGAGAACATTCTTGAGACACTGTAAAAGTATTTTAAATAGTATTGCTTATTTTTGTTGTTGGTACATTCAGATACTGTTTGGTATGTTTTTTAGAAACTATTTGTACGTTTAGATATTGTTTCTAAAGTTCTTAAAGACGTGTTATTCGTTCAAGTAAACGATGCTGTTAAAGCAGGTTGTCTGAGCAGTTAAAGAAACTTAATCAAATGACTCAAAATTCTCTTCTTTAAGCAGCCGAAGCAACGATACTCGAAATGCCTGGAATGGATAATTAACCAAGTAATAAATAAACTTTAAAATAAAGTTTAAAAATAAAAAATGTCTTGTTTATGTATATTGTATTATATATGGCTTATAAATTTAATTGCCAAAGTTACATAAATAATACTAAAAAAAATTCTATAAAGATAAGTATTTAAAACAACCTATCAGCGGCCAATAGTACCGTAAAAAATACGAAAAAAAAATACGTATTAATACGTTCAATAGATACGTATTTAAAACACCCAATCAGCGGCCAAAAGTACCGTAAATAATACGAAAAAAAAAATACGAAAAAATACGTATTAATACGTTTAAAAGATACGTATTTAAAACGCCCAAACAGCGGCCAAAAGTACCGTAAATAATACAAAAAAAAATACGTATTAAATACGTATAATTTTGTTTGTTTTGAAATTTATGTCAACAATTAGTACAAAGCTTTAATTAAAGCTTTGTACTAATTGTTGACATAAATTTCAAAATAACAAGTAATATGTTTTTTTAATTTGAAAAAAATAAAATTCAAAAAAACCCATTAAAAAAAAAAAAAAACAGATTAAAAAAGGTTTTTTTGCAACTCTATCCGTGAGTCGTCACAAAACCACTAACACTTCGTCCTCCATTAGCGTGACGTAATTTGTGGGCAACCCCTTAGGGCGGCTCTGTATCTTGGTAAATGATAGAAGCAAAACCTATTCCGACGTTTGAAGTTTCGTGCATATTGATGACCGGAGTATAACAAAATAAGTGTTTGCCTTTATTTTTAAACACTTTTTGGCACAAACTATCTTTTTTAACTTATCGTCTGCCGGAATCGAAACTTTTAGTCGATGTATGTACACATCCTGCATGTTCTACCTATTTAGTCAGTCAATGTATAAACACTCCCTGCATGTTTTATCTATTTAAGCTAGTCGGTGTATGTGTACTCCCTATCTGTTCTACATGTTTAAGCCAGTCTATGTGAGCACACTTCCTAATTTTTATTATAAATAAAACTTTATAAAAAATATAACTTTTTATTAACAACAATCTTTGGCAATACGCATAATACTAGAACTAAAAACTTTAAAATATAAACAAAAAAATATATGCGCTCAAGAGGAATTGATTCCGCGTTCCTGGGAAGTCCTTGGTATAAGTTCTTTGGTAAGTCCGTGTCGGTTCCAGAAATTTCAATTAATAGTAGATAGTATCTACTATTGGTTGAAATTTCTGTACCAAGGACTTCCTAGGAAGTCCGTAGTAACGTGACCCAAATTAAAAAATAAATAAAATAAACTACTATCCAAGAGCAAAGAGGTAGATCAGGGAATAATGCCCGCAAAGGGTTGTTGGGCGAAATAATTAGGTTGTTTCGTGAATACATATTAAAGCTGTAAAAATTTTCCAATTATCAAACCTTCTTGAACATGCATTTGCATTGTTTGAAAATAGTTTACAACAAAAACAAAATGCTTGTTTTTTATGAATTGAATAAAACTAATCATCTCTCAAGTGTTTCACAATTCAAAAGTTTTATGTTGCAAAGTAGTCAAGACCGGACTAAGGTCTTGAAGGCCAGTGCAAAAAAATTTGGAAGCCCCATTCGTAGAAAAATATTTTTAGTAATAACTGCAGAGAAAAATTATACTAGATTTTTTTTGCAGAGGAATTTTATCTTGCTTTCACATTGGCAATGTTAATTACAACCTCTTCTACTTTAATCTTCAAAGTTGCTTGCAAACATCCTATTGCTGATATTTTGACATTTTTGACTTGTCTATGAAAATTAAAAAGTGTTTGATTCCAAATTCGTCACTTCCATTTACAACTACTTGAATCTATTCTCATCACCTATACTCACCTCACTCTCTCTATATATATACTCACCTCTCTCTATATATACTCAACTCAATACTCACTTCACTCTATTCTCACCACCTACTAAAAAAAAAGTTGCGTATCTAATTTCTTGTATATTAAAGCTTGAATTGCATTGGAATAATGCTAAGAATAGCTTAAGTATAATCCAATGATGCTCTTTACTTTAATTTCTTTACTTTTTAAATTTAAGTAAACCAACTAGAAAAATTACTTTCTGTATTTTTTAATAGCTTCGGTTAAATGAGTACCTTCTTATCCGCTCAGTTATACTACTTTATGTACAAAAAAGCTGAACATTTTATACATTTTATGCTCTTTTATGGCAAATATATTTAAAAAGCATATAAAATTATTTTATAATTTAATTTTTTTTTAATTCCTAGCGGTCGCGCTAGGAATTAAAAGCGGTAATTCCTGATAGCCAAACTTTATCAAATAATTAATTTTTCTTTTATTTCTTCCAAAAATGTATAAAAATTAAATTTTTTTTTTGCTAAGTCAATTCTTATAGACGTAAAAGAAAACAAATATAAAATTTAAAAAAAATTTAGTCGCAACTTTTTTTTATTATTTATTAATTCCATTTTACAGATTTTTGACAATAAAACAAAAAATTATTTTTTTTATGTATAAACCGTTTCGTGACTTTTTTGCTGGTACTATTGCAGTCATTTTAAACTTATTTTGAAACTTTTCATAAATATATAGTGGTCCCTGACAAACACGAAGTGAGCTGCTGCTCCAAAATTACTTTTTCTTATAATTTAAAATAAAGCACGATTTTTTTCTTTTTCTTTTTTTTTAACCCAACTTCTATACAACAAATAAAAAACAAAATAAAAACAAAAATATTTTAATAACAAATATATTTTTCTGTAAAAAAGATTTTTTATGGGTTCCCTTTTAGATCCTTTTTAAGTCCAACTAAGCGTCTGAATTTTTTATTACCTACAGATTCGGAAAGGCAACATTTTAATTAACAAGATAAACAAATAATTATTTATTTTGATCAATATGTAAACTTATGATGCTGTGCACACTACAAAAATAGAATTAACGACTTAATGCAGGGCCGTGCGGTGCTATGATACAAAGAGGCGGCCGCCTCAGGCGGCACCATTAAGGGGCGGCAAAGTAGCGAAATCAAAATGCAATTTCAGGGTTGCAATAATAATGAGGTACTAAATCAAAAACTGGACTCATTTAAATTTTAATTACTACCAAACTCGTGAATGTTTTTAAAAGTTTTTTCATTGTCCACATTTTTCTATAAAAATTAAAAAAAAATTTCTCCCTCATTTAGCATTCGCTTTTGCTATTCCTTTCAATATGAATAAAAACGTTTTGAAACGCATATTAGCGTGGACTATTTTCTTATAGACGATTTCGGAGTTAGCGTAGCCATCTTGGAAAAATATTCTTGGGGGTGCAAGTTGAACTTTGAACTTTCCGTTTTTATGCAAAATGTCATATAAAAGTATGAAAACTTTCTTAATTTAAGTTCAAAATAACTCATAGATTATTAGTTAATTCTTGGTTTATAATTATAAGGAAAAAATGTTAAACTTGTTGCAAGAGCTTTTGCTGCTGTGAAACTTATTCTTGAAATTATATCTTCACAATTTAAAACCAAAAAAAAAGGTGATATTATACCTTTTTTTATGGTTTTAAATTTTATAATATAAAATAAGTTTGCATTTTTTTATTTAATTACACATATAGTTTATATTGAAAAATAAAGTTTCTATTTTAGTAATTTAAATGGTACAGACTATACCATATGAAAACTTTAAATCAACAATTCCCTTTAGTGCATACATTTTATTACAGTGAGTTGTTTGATCTCATTATAAAAAAATAGTTATTAGTTTAAAACTAGTTAATATATTTTATTGCCTTTTTTTTTTTTTTAAGATAAAAACATTTATTAAGTAATATCTAGTATGTAATATAATGCCAAGTCTTAGCAAATGTATAGTTGGTGTCTGTAATAATGACAAATAATACCCGGACATGCACAAGTTACCAAAATGTAAAGAAAGAAGAAATGCATGGATACATCATGGTAGCACTGGTATAAAAGATTTTATTGTCCCTAAAAACTTTTTTGTTTGTTCACATCACTTCCTTTGAAAAAAATCTACAAAAGATAATCTTGATCCAACTTTGTTTTATTTAAAATCTCTATTAATACCATAACAACACCATAAAAGAGAAAAGTACTTTTTCCACAAAACTCAATTATTAATTCTAAAAAGGTTTTAGTTATGAAAGAAACTAATTCAAATTCGATAGATGATTCAACATCAACATCATAATCAGGAGACATAATATTGCTTCTGTTAGTTCAACAGAACTTGACCTTTTTCTTAATTTCAAAATTTTGTTGCTGCCATCCCGATACGTCATAAGAGAAGCTTTGTTTGAGATAATTAAAGACACCTGAAAATTTTTTGTACTCACCAAACCTGTAAAAAAAATTGCACATCATTTTCACGTGTCAACTGGCAGAACATCATTGGGACAGACACTAGAAATTCACTAGATGATGCTATTTCTCTTTCATCTGCAACAACAAAATTCAACTCAGAATCACCACAGTCAACATTGAATTAGTTTCTTTCATAACTAAAGAATTAATAATTGAGTTTCGTGAAGTTTTACGTACTTTTCTCTTTTTTGGCGTTGCTATGGTGTTAGTAGAGATTTTTAAAAACAAAGTTGGATGAGGATTATCTTTTGTAGATTTTTCTTCAAGGATGTGATTTAATCAAACAAAAAAGTTTTTAGGAACAACAAAATCTTTTGTACTAGTGCTACCATAATGTATCATGCATTTGTTCTTTCTTTACATGTTGGTAACTTTGCATTACTAAATTTCCTTCAACATTGCTATGTTTTATAATTTTGTCAGGGTATCTTTTGTAATTATTACAGACACCAACTACACATCTGCTATGAATTGGCATTATATTTCATACTAGATATTACTTACTAAATGCTTTTATTTAAAAAAAAGCAATAAAAGTATATTATTAAATTTTCTTCAACATTGCTGTTTTATAATTTCGTCAGGGTATCTTTTGTCATTAATAAAGACACTAACTAAAGATCTGCTTTGACTTGGCATTATAATACATACAATTTAATTAACTAGTTTTAAACTAATAACTAATATTTTATAATGTTCACTGTAATAAAATGTATGTACTAAAGTGAATTCTTGATTTAAAGTTTTCATACGGTATAGTTTGCACCATTTAAAATACTAAATACAAAATTTAAAACCATAAAAAAGGTGTAATATCACCTTTCCTTTTGTTTTTAAATTGTGAAGATATAATTTTAAGAATAAGTTCCATAACAGCAAAAGCTCTTGCAACAAGTTTACCATTTTTCGCTAATATTTTTAAACCAAGAATTAACTAATAAACTATGAGTTATTTTGAACTTAAATTATGAAAATTTTCATACTTTTATATGAAAGTTTGCATAAAAACGGAAAATTCAAAGTTCAACTTGCACCCCCAAGAATATTTTTCCAAGATGGCTACGCTAACTCCGAAATCGTCTATTATGTTTCAAAATACTGTTTTCAAACGTTTTTAAACGTTTGTGTTTGCCTGTCTTTGCAAGTTAAATTTTAACTTTGTAATGTCATCATGTTTTTAACTGTTAAAAACATGATGACATTACAAAGATTTTACAAAATTTTTACAAAAATTTATTACAGCAGTGACAGCAATCGTCAGCATGGAACAAAAAAGAAAAAAATTATCTGGAAGTCAATACAAAAAGAAACGCTTAAAGAATGAAGAACAAGAAAGAAAGCTCAGCAATGTTATGAAGAAATTCTTAGTACAAAAGTGCGGTTTAGATGAGCCATCCACATCAGCAGCAACTGATTTGGCAAATAACAACACAGTGCCGCCCCAATCACTTCCAGAAGAAGTTGTTGAAGAGAGCCAAATACTAACACCATCAGATCTTCATGAACAGCCGGGCAGCACATCCACGTCAACTGCGACTGCCTTGGATTTGGCAAATAAAAACACAGTGCCGCCCCAATCAATTCCAGAAAAAATTGTTGAAGAGATCCAAAAAATAACATCATCAGAAGTTCATCAAGAACCGGGCCGCATTAGCAGTGGCAGTCAGCAGGTATTAAAAGAAATTCCTTCAGATCCTGCATTATGGCTTACTTTCTGCATGTCATCTCAAACTCGTCAACTACTGGTTGAGAGGGGTCCCCATCAAATTAAAGAATTCGAGTTTCCTATTAATAAAGGAAAGCGTAGATTTTTGCCCTCGTATTATTCGAAAGTGTTGAGCAATGGTGAAGTCGTTGAGAGAAGTTGGCTTATTTACTCTATTGCTAGTGATGCCGTTTTTTGCTTTTGTTGTATATTATTTGATAATTCGTCTGATATTAGTGACTGGCCCAAAAAAGGCTATTCTGACTGGAAAAATCTTATAAGAGCCCTCACAATGCACGAAAAGTCTGTAAATCACAGAAATGCTTTTAGAGCATGGAAAGAATTGGACATTCGATTGAAGCAGAAAAAAACTATTGACGCTGAATATCAACGAATTATGGATATGGAACTTCAGCATTGGAGAGGAGTTATAAAAAGAATTATGTCAATAATTAAACTATTGGCCTCACAATGTTTAGCTTTTCGTGGATCAACTGAACATTTGTTTCAACCTAATAACGGGAACTTCCTAAAGTTGGTAGAATTACTTTCTGAGTTTGATCCAGTTATGGAAGAACATATCAGGAGAGTTCAACGAGAGTCTGATAAATGGTCAGTGACTTATCTAAGCAATAATATACAAGATGAACTGATAAATTTAATGGGAAATTCAATTTTAAGAAAAATTGTCGAAATAACAAAAATCGCTAAATATTTTTCTATAATCGCTGATTGTACCCCCGACGTCAGTCATTATGAACAGCTCTCCTTAACAATAAGAGTTGTTACTTTTAACTCCATTCAAAATAAATATGAAATTGCAGAATTCTTTATTGGTTTTTTTGAAGCTAGTGATTCAACCGGAGAAGGTTTGGCAAAACTTATTCTGACACATTTGGAAAAATTAGGTTTTGAGTTAAAGTGGCTTAGGGGACAAGGCTATGACAACGGAGCCAATATGAAAGGAGTAAGAAAGGGTGTTCAAAATAGAATACTTGAAAAATATCCAAGGGCTTTTTATGTGCCCTGCGCATGCCATTCTTTAAACCTTGTTGTGAATGATGCAGCGTCTTCTACTACAGAAACAACATTTTTTTTTTCTATTGTACAAGAACTTTACACTTTTTTTTCTGGTTCTACAAAGCGTTGGGAAGTGCTAAAAAAATATGTTTCTCAATTAACTCTGAAACCATTAAGTGCTACTAGGTGGGCAAGCAGAATAGATGCTTTAAAACCTTTACGATTTCAACTTTGCAAAATCT